TAAAGTCCTCCTTGGAGTAGTTTCTAACGCATTACTTATCATCTCTCAGTTCCGTCTTTGGTCAGTGTGCACTCAGGAGCTTCTCTGTCAAAGGACAGAGTGAGAACTGCGGAAAATCACACTGAGAGGTGCCCGGCCCTGGGGAACAGCTGCTCGAGGCCACGCCATCTCATTGTACCAGAGGCAGGGATCGGTGCTCGCACCGAAACCTGTGCAACCGACGATTGCGGGGGCTGTGGGCAATTTTTGTTCCTTGGCCGGGGCTTCGCGCTCGGGTCCTCCACCTTAAAAAAAGATCTTGTGTCACATCTCGTCCCCGTGGGTGGGGGGCAGAGTAAATACCGCATGTAAATTACTATAAAGTAGTACTGGGACATTTTAATCTCAGAATTCGTGGGAGAATTAATCTTCATTTTCGCATTTATTCATATAGATTCCATTAGTATTTCTATTTTCCCATCTTTACACCATAATCATATTATCTTATAAATTGTTTCCTGTTCTGTTCTTCATAGAATAAAAATAATTGTTTGTACAGTAAATAAGGACCTACGTACATCAAATTGCCTTTAAATTAAGTGGCAGCAGAAGAATTATCGTTGAACTTTTAAATGCAGCGATCAATTTTGAGTTCTTCTGTAGTTTAATGATGACTGTCGCATCTTCTCCTCCCTAGCTATTGGGATGGTGTCCAAAGCAAGAATCCGCCACAGAAGCTAGCTTAAATGCCGCCCGATGGTCCGCTTTAAAGTAGTTTATAGGAAAACGTGCACTGCAATTTTGGATACAAAAGTAAAATAAGAGTTACTCTTCTTAACCATGAAAGCAACGAAATGGCTAGTAAAATATATTAGTATATATTTTTAATCTCCCATAATCTTGCAACCCTGAATCTGGGCTAAACGAAAATAGTTCCCTGTGCCTAATTTTTCTAGGGCTTTTGAATGAGATATGAATCATTGAAATCGAACCAATGGGAGTGGAGGAGTTGTTTGGACTTATACACACAAACACAAACATATACACTGTACTTTATATATATGTTTCAAATATTGTCATAGCCAGGGCGTCATAGTGGGCACAAGTTTCCACTGTTTATAAAATGCTTTCGTGGAATGTGTCTGAAATAACCCGTGAAAACTAATGGAATTCGATAGCCCAGAAAGGCAGTCCATCTCTAGGGGAAGGAAAACCCTGATTTTAAACCTGCCTGTGCCTCGCGGACATATCCAAATCACGGAAAACCGGGAGCGGAGCGCCAAAGCCGGTTGGCTGTCAAAACTGACAACTTTCCTGAAACTCCTGCAGCCAAGCCGGCACCAAATATATTGCTCTGTATTTTTGGGGGTCTTGTACGAACATGCTTAACCCTGGGGTAAACTGCTGTTTGAACCCCTCAGAGTGCTTTAGAGCCATTAGGCCACGTGTATGCATTGGCTGAATAGTACCTTTTAGCGATATCACTCGGGTTATAGATTTGAGAAATTTCCTCTCTGTTCAGTTTCGTATGGAAACGTGAACAAAGCAATTCATAAAAATAATTATTTTATTATTATTATTATTCCGACATTTTAATCTTTATTTCTAATGGATACCCATTTATTTAAAGTTTTGACATTCCGCTTCATCCCGCTGTGATGGTGTTTTCTTTTTTTAAAAAAAAAAAAAAAAAAAAGACGCGCGAACGTCTTTTATAGTTATTTCAAAATTTGAAACTCATGAAACCAACCGTGCCTTTCTTGATGAATTTTACCTCAACATAATCAGAAAAACCAGAAAGGATCAGTATAAAAATAAGTAGACAAATATGTTTGAATAAAGATATGCTGCCTCTTTCTCTCTCTTACGATATATATATATATATATATATATATGTATTTGTCAAATTTTCTCAATTACAAAGCGGCCCTTTAAGTAAACACAATTTTATTTTCCTTCGTCCCATCTCTCTCCCCCACCTCTTCTCTTTCTTTTTTTTCCCTACCTCCTAACTTCTAATTGTCTATGGTGTGTATATGTCACCACGAAATGTATCTTTATGCCTTAGACATCCGCCGACTTTCTTTCTCTCCTCTTTTTAAATCCCCCCCCACATCTCCTAAAATTCTCTCTGTTAAGGTTTCATCTCCCTCCTCCTCATACTTACACTTTCTCTAAATTCTGTTTTGATTTCCGGAGTTGTTTTTTCTGTTTTCATTTTGAATTTGTAGGTCTGATGATTTGGATCGTATTTACGATTCCAATGGAATAAATTATGACCATGGAATATTAGTGTTTAAGCCTTTTTATTATATCCTTACTCTGTCCTAGACATTGAGTTCTACCTGGATTCTTCCTGTTGGAAAATTTTTTTCTGAAAATATACATGTATGGGTAATTTTTTTATATATATTTTGCATATGTATGTATATTTTCCACTAATATTATATATATATATATATATATATATATATATATATATATCGTTTTTATTGTGCGTAGTGTCACCACAAATGTATACACACATTTCCGGTGTCTGTTTTTTAAATTTTAATTTTAGGTCACCGAATCGGTAGCGATTTCTGCATCTGAAAATAATTCCTATTTATCTGTATCTCACTCATTTAAACCGTTATTTAACTCCTCTCTTTAAAAATTCTCTCTGTTAAATTTTAATCCCCACCTTCACCTTTAGCCCTTCCTCTTCACCTTTCTTCTGTTACACCCCTCTCTAGAGCTTTCATACATTTCCTTCTCACACTTGTTTCCAACTCCCACACATACACTCTTACTAATATTTTTTTTTTATACCCGGAGTTATATTTTCCGATTTCATTTTGAATTTGTAGGTCTGATGAATTGGATCGTGATTACGATTCCAATGTAATAAATTATAACCATGGAATATTAGTGTTTGAGCCGTTTTTATTATATATATATATATATATATATATATATATATATATATATATATATATTGAAACTTGACTAATGCATGGAATAATAATACAACACAAAATGTACTTAGAACAAAATGTATTGAAACAAGAAAGTGTACACAATATTTACATATAGTCTTTTGTATATTCTTGGGAAGACCGTTCCTGGAGAATGTGTTGACTTAGTCGCAGTCGGGCAGAGTCTCTGGATTGAATCTCTTGATTCCTCTCTCTCTTCCCGGTACCAACAATATTTATATGGTCGGTACTCCACTATGCAAATTAGGTGGATCCTACCACAACAATATATATATATATATATATATATATATATATATATATATATATATTAATTTAAAGAAAAAACAGACCACTTTAAGGTACCATTGTTATAATTTATTTCACCAGAGAATTTATTATTCTCTAGATCTTCAGACTTCACTTTCAAGTTTGAAAAAATGAAATTAAAATTTACACTTTTGAAGGGTAGTATTAATCTTATATAATGTGACATAGAAGGTGATGAGGGATAGTGTGAGAGACATGGACGAAATTAGGGAGGGAAGAGAGTTTTTAAATTTATTTTTATTTTAACTACAATAGTTAATATTGAGGAGGAGGGAGGGTTAATAACCAGACATTGACCTATTTAATCGGTCAACTCATAAATATAAGAAAAAAGGAAAAAGAAAAAGAAAGATAAAAAAGCGGGGTAATTGCCTGTCATATTCAATGAAACTTGCATGAAAAGAAGGGTTGCTACCTAAATACACAATTTATATATTGGAGTGATTTCACAGTGGAGGCTTGTATTTGTACTAAGTTGGTCCTAAAATAGGTTCGACGTACAAAACGTTAGGAACTTGATATAATAGGTATGACGCAGAGTAATCTACTTGTGGTCGCTGATACTTTAGTATCCGACTAACTGTCGTCCGACATCGACTGACTGACTAACTCGATATTTAGTCAAAAGACGAGGGTGTCATGTGGCACAAGGCCGGTTTAACGTGGGATCTCCGAGCCCGTGGGTTCGGCCAAAAATATGCCCATTGAAGCCGTATAAACGGGTTCAGGGTCGGTTTACCTCCCCGAAAGAGAATCCGCCCTTCGGCGTAGCCTCTTTCGGGTTCCTCCCCACCCGAAGGCAGAGAGTTCAACCGATCAGCCACTCGAGAGACTAACCGACACCCCTGAGCGACTCCTACTACTCCTACTTATTATAGGTGGAAGAGTCTATTAACTATAGAATAGGTGTGTTCCACTATAATATATATATATATATATATATATATATATATATATATATATATATATATATATATATTGGATGCAGACACATGCATTCAGTAAAACGAACCTTCAGATATTGGAGCCCATCTACATTAAAACAAACAACCCACACTCAGCAAAATTACATTTCAAATGAGTCACAACACATTACATTGCGTCTTGACATATGGTTCTGTTGTTAATATTTCGTTCTCTCGCGTGGTATGAAACGTCATAGAACCGCATCTTGAACTTACATTCTACGTCTGCTATTCCGCGACCGTTATAGGCGCATAGCAATCTTCTATGTCATCATAACAGAATATCATCTTTGATGGTGAATATCTTTGTTTACATGTCCGTATAACCACTCCGAAGATGGCTCATTTGAATCGAAAGGAACAGCTTCAAAAATATCCAAATGTTGGACAATTTTTGACTTTATTTTTCCCCGAAATTAAAGCAAATATACGAAGTTTAGAACGGCTCCTGATCAGACATAATCGACATTCGTTGTCATATTTAACTATGTTTAAATATGCTTTTTGTGTCGATTAATTTTACTGCTCGGCTTCTTGAAATTACGAATGATCCATCTTCGACAAAGGAGGGCATGCCATCAGAAATTGTCCGAAGTTCATTTCGGAAGAAATATGTTCCAAGCCTTAGTAATTTCTGAAATCATTAGCTGTATAGATAAAGACGTCACATCTCGCCTACGTCACAACACTCCTTGCCTACGTCACAACACTCCTTGCTTACGTCACAACATTCACTAGTTCCACGTAACTCTCCATTTGTCTCTATCAGCCTGTCCATATCTATCTATCTATCTATCTATCTATCGATCGATCGATCGTATTCCTACGCCGCTATAACAGTCTTTTCTTTTTCTTTCTTTCTTTCTTTCTTTCTTTCTCAGTCAGTTCATATCTATCTATCTATCTATCTATCTATCTATCTATCTATCTATCTATCTATCGATCGATCGATCGACCGATCATATTCCCACGCCGCTATCACAGTCTTTTCTTTCTTTCTTTCTTTCTTTCTTTTTTTCTTTCTTTCTTTGTCAGTTCATATCTATCTATCTATCTATCTATCTATCTATCTATCTATCTATTTCTAATATATGTCTATATTATTCAATGAAACATATTTGAATAAAGACATGCTTATATATATATATATATTACATTATTCTGATGTCATAGATTACAGTTTTTGAGCCTTCCTTTTAAAGAATTCTTTCTTCTTTAGAGCAGCAAGAATACTATCAAAATTGATGCCAGAACTAACATCGTATTTATGGCAAAACTTTTTTTCAAGACACCTTTGCTACTCTGAGAAATAAAAAAAAGACAAAAAAAAAACAAACAAAAAAAAAAACAGATAAAACCAACTCCTCCCAAACAAAACTGAATGAAAAATATAGTTAAAAATTGAATTACAAAAAAGAAGTTTTATGTCGCCATTTCCCGTTCATGGTCAAACTTAAAATTTAGATTTACGATTTTTTGCAAGTTTAAAATGAGCGTTTTATTTTAAGATTAATTTTGGTTTCATTTAAATATTATTTCTATTAAAAATAACTCAGTGAATAATGTCATAATTATCGTCCCCAGTCGTTATTAAAAAAATATCTGGAAAAAGAAAATAAAAATGTTCAAAAGAAACTATTAAATTAAAGTTATGTGCCCTCTATTTTCATATTGGCCTGTTAGCAGGAACATTTTTAGAAGATTCTTTTTGCGAAAAATTCCATGTTTCTTCTCTCCTTTAGTTTTTTTTTTGATTTTTCTAGTGACCCACGATGTTTTTATTGAACAAATTCGTTTTGCTTTATTGAAATCTCTATTTTTTTTTTTAAAAAAAAACAACTTTCTTTCTATTGCAGACGACAGTATTTTGTTTGTTTGAAAATTCTAGTCATGTATAAACTAATAATTACACTGTAAACATTTTCGGGAATTTTTTTTCCTTTAAACGATTCTTTTTCTTTCAATCTTCAATAGATTGGAAAATAAACGAATAAATAAACTGCCAAAAAAAAAAAAAAGACAATCTGAAATTCATACGTAGCTGACTAGGACCCTACATTTTTCCACAACCATTTTTTTTCTCTCTTTCGTTTTAACTAAAACTTTCATCCTTTTTGCTTTGTTCGCAATTCGTTAGCAATTTATTTGTGGCGCCAATGAGGACCGGTTTCTTCGATGCAAAAGTTGTTTGTCTGCTTCCTACATCTTCTGTCTGTGTCGCCGAAGAAAAAGATGGCGGACGAAAAAAAATACAGACACTGAATTCATGAAAGCTTTTACAAGAGAAATTTTGCCCGCGTTATTTCGTGTCTATTGCCGCCAAAAACGTTAAATTATTATTATTATTATTATTATTATTATTATTATTATTATTATTATTTCCTTTGATTTCTGGCGTGTACACATTTCTTTCCGGGTCCCGCCCAGTGAGCTAAGGTTAGAAATGGCATCATGACACATTCCATTGAATATATATATATATATATATATATTCGAATCCCCACCCCCGTCGAATTCAACGTATGAGGGTCAAGAAGATTAGTTCCTAGACAGCCCGACAACAGCACATGAGATTTGATTATAATGGTGAAGGTTTCGTGCAGGACCATCCACACTTTTTGAAGGGCCAAATACAGAGACCTGATGCACAGGGTCCCCAAACGACCCTCCGCAAGTTTTGAATTCATTCTCCTAGACCAGTTGCCATCCAAGGCTATAGAACCCAGTCTGCCCTGCTATTTACCCATAGCTGGAGGGAGAAGAAGGGGATCCACACTTTTCCCAAGGGTATTGTAAGTGAATGCAACGGATTCGACTGGAATTCGAACTCGGCTCTCCGATTCCTCAATCCAAGCCGCTATACATTACCGTACCTTCTTTTTTTATATATATATATATATATATATATATATATATATATATATATATATATATATATATATATATATATATATATATATATATATATATATATATATATATATATAGGTTAAAAAAAAGTAAAGCTTGTATCTGGAAAAATCGCCACTATTCCCCAAAATAATTGTTGATGAATGATTCACTCTCAAAAAAAGCATTATTTTTACAATCTAAAATATGTTTCGGTTTTAAATAATTCACAAAGGGTTGATAAATCGTAAAATATTCACCGTATAAAACGGGGTCGGGTATCTTTTTCTCGAGACAAGAGTCTACCCTTCTACATAGTCTCATCTGGGGAAACTCTCTGCCACCGGGCAGAGAGTTTGACCAGCACAGCTGGAAACGAATCTCCATCTGCCTGATATCTACCAATCGCCCCACACGGTTAGATGTGGTACAAGACTGAATTTAATGTGGGGTATCCGAGCCCGTAGGCTCGGCTAAAAATTACCCATAAACCCCATAGAAAACGGTGTCGGGTAGATGTTTCCCGAGACAAGACTATGCCCTTCGACATAGCCTTGTTTGGGGATCCTCTCTGTCCAGAGGCAGAGAATTTGGCCAGCACAGCCAGAGACAAATCTCCGACTGCAGACCAACATACAGTATTTACTACTGTATTTTTGTGTATGGAGACATACCCATTATCGTTCATAGATATGCTACAACATAGAGAATATGAGAAAAAATTACTAATAAGCCAATAGGACAATATAAGCGCATGAATTAAGATAACGAATGACAATGAATTTAAATTTTTGAAAATCAAAGTTGATTGGGAAGCATGAATCCGGAAGAACGATCCACAAGCGAGAAGTGCGAGAGAAGAAACTGTTAGCATAGAACTTACGGTTATATCTATCCATTTCATCTGTGAAGATGATGGGACCCTGACGCCAATCTAGTACTGCGCTCAAATTCATAAAGTCGACGTAACAAAAAAGGAAAGTGCTTCAGAACAATCAACATGTGAGTATTTATGGAAAAGGCACAGGAAAACTAGGTTGGTGGGGTGGGGGATGACTAATGACAATATGCCAGGTCAGAACCAATAGCATTTTTGATTCGGAAGAGAGTTCCACAAGCGAGAAGTGCGATAAAAGAAACTGTTAGCATAGAACTTACGGTTATAGATAGCTATTTTAATAGCAAAATGATGAAACCATGCTAGTACTGCGCTTAAATTCATAAAGTCTAGGTATCATAGAGGAAAGCTCATCAGGACAATTACCATGGAAATATTTATAGAAAAGGCACAGGGAGGCTGCATTCTGACTGTACGGAAGTGACTGGAGCCGTGATGCCAAGTCAAGATCTATAGAATTGCATATTCCTCTTTGAATTTCATCAAGAATCTCTAAGTGTACAGCAGGAGCACAAGGCTGGACGTGGCAGCAATATTCGAAGCATAGGCAAATGGTAGACTTATAAATATGTAAGATACTTTCTGGCAAGAAAAATTTTCTAGCACGTGAATCCACTTTCCCAGCAGCAGATCTAGCAACTGATTTGATATAACCATTCCAAATCATGTGAGCTGACAAACTGTTCACTTCAGTAGGCGCAACAAGCCACTTTCCTAGCGGTTAGCGTCAGCCATACTGATGGAAAGCAGAAAGTGGTATCTCAGATGATTGGTCGAGAATATTTTAACTTTACCAACACCCATCTTTTTATCCCGTTAGTAAAATCGTCATGGTTAAGAGGAAACCTTTTTTTTTTTTTATATAGTTACGGCGGTGTGGAAACGATTGAAGCCGAGATGCCGGGTCAGGACCAATAACATTGCATATTCTTATTTGTATTTTATCAAGAAACTCTAAATACACGGCAGAAGCACCAGACCAGATGTGTCGGCACTTCTAAAAATACCATGGACAGGAAATATAAATAACTGGAAAGTTTTAAATGAAAAAGAAACTCGACGAAAGCTATACTAACAATAAAAACGAGACCACTGAAATAGTCTACATCTCAGTGGATTAGGAGTAATCTTGTCACAGATAAAACAAAATTGACTCGAGATTACATAGACATGTTGATCCCAGATAATGCCGAGAGATGCTGAAAACTGTCTGTAAACAACGAGGAGATTTTAAAGAAAATGGACACAACTGAATTAAACTCAATAGATAGTCACATGAAATCTGTATGCTAGTAAATGGCAGGTAACTTTCTCCTATATGGGTAAGCGATATATAAGTTTTTATATATCTGGAATAATTTCAGAAAAAAAAAGTTGACAAAGTGGAATAGGGGCTTATCTTGTTTCCTGTTCAAGACTGGGTTTCCGGTTCCTTCCAAAAGTCTACATCAACTTTATACTTCTAACGTCTCCGTCTAAAACTCTGAACTTTTATCATTTACTATTTATTTTTTTATTAATATAAATAGACAAGTTCGCCTTTTTTTTCCCTAGTTCACACCCCTCCTTGGTTTTTTTGAAAGGGAGTAGATAATTATTCACTGTTTCCTGTTTAGGGTTTGATTTCCGGTTCCTTCTAAAATCTATTCCAAATCTCTATTTCTAACTTCTCTGCTTAAATTCGGACACTTCATGTACTATCTATTTTTTTTTTATCAATAGGAGCTGATAGATGCGCTTATCGTCTGTTTCCCAACTTTCCCCGGTTTTTTGAATAAGAGTAGAGCTTTATCGCGTGTTTCCTGTTTAGGATTTGATTCCCGGTTCCTTCTAATCTCTATTTCCAACTCCATGCTTCTACCATATGTGCCTGAAATTGAAATTTTTGGTTACCATTTATATATTGTTTCCTGTTTAAGGTTGGCTTTTCGGTCCTTTCTAAAGTCTTTCTATTCGCTTACAATATAGCCTTGCCTAGGATGAATTAATAAAATTGATGACGATCATGAAAGAATGTTTTTCAGACCGTCGAAACACTTGTTGAATTTCGGAAAACAGAATTTTGTTAACTGTTTCGAAGAGCACAAATGAAACAGTTGATGATGATCACGAAAAAGAGCTTTTCAGTTTGTTGAAAAGCGCAAATGAAGCAGTTGATGAAGATCCTGAAATCGGAATTTGCTAAATATTTCGAAAAACGTAAACGATGGTAAAATAAGTAGGCGAAGACTCAAGTGTAATAATTTTCACGCGAACAAATGTTTCTTTAACTTTGATTGACTACTTTATGTTAATATTATA